CGTATAAATGCAAGGTTCTTATTAAATATTATTTTGTCGGTTATTAAAATCAGTTTAAGACATATTCTATAGACATACATTAAGCACTTATTGCGCAGAACCGCAGATGATAGCAAAACACTCTTATGATCTACAGGCTCTTTTTAATGTAGTAAAAATGAAAAGACAATATTATGATCTATAATGATGTAGTTAGGAAAAATATGTTAATCTTTGTAAATGGGTATATTTATTTAAAAAACCCTTAAAAGGGCCACATCAATAAAACAAACGTTTTCGGACCACACAGTCCATCATCAGGTTATTAAAATCGAAAATGCTAGGTCACAATGCCTGAGCCACCAAAATATTAGGGTAAAAACCCTTTAAATTACATTTAGTTATGAAATGTTGTACATTGTGTTATAAAATAACTGTGATGTTCAGTATTAAATTAAATTTGACTATAGGTAACACATGGCTCAATTGGGTTCCAGAGCCGGTGAGAGGGAACCTCTGCACTCGGAGAACAACGTGGAACTGAACACGTTGTTCTCCGAGTGCAGAGGTTCCCTCTCACCGGCTCTGGAACCCAATTGAGCCATGTGTTACCTATAGTCAAATTTAATTTAATACTGAACATCACAGTTATTTTATAACACAATGTACAACATTTCATAACTAAATGTAATTTAAAGGGTTTTTACCCTAATATTTTGGTGGCTCAGGCATTGTGACCTAGCATTTTCGATTTTAATAACCTGATGATGGACTGTGTGGTCCGAAAACGTTTGTTTTATTGATGTGGCCCTTTTAAGGGTTTTTTAAATAAATATACCCATTTACAAAGATTAACCTCTCTTTGTTATACGTGGTATACATCCAGCTACAGGAATTTTTCCTTGTGGATTTAGGAAAAATATGTTTTTAAATAAAAAAACGAGCGCAAATGCAAACATTTAAGATTTATCTACCAAAATGTTTTAATGAAAAGTTGTAGCTTTTACTTATTCTACAAAATATTTTAATTATCATACATGCACAAATACTTTACAGTACAAGTACAAAACAAATTGGCTGGCAAAACTAGGTCAGGTGCCAGTGAATGTGCAATTTACTTACTTATTGGCTTACATCCATATCAGTTCCAATGACGCAGGATATGTTGAGTTAGTATGTAATAGATAGATAATGGTTTCTTATCTGTATGCAAAATGTGTTTTATGACAACAATTCACATTGTGCTCACTGTGAAGGAGGTAGACTTTATGTCACTATAAATGTTAGTATATTTTGGCGATTTATTAGCAATATCACTTTATCATTTTTTTTGCTTTGGAGCACATTTGACAGTAAGTTTTTACAAGGAAGGATTAAAGGTAGATATCCAATTGAAGTGAAGTTGTTTAAACGCAGAAAACAGACAAAATTGATGTATTGTAAGAATGCAAATAGTAAAAATACAGAAAAATAGACAAAAATAATTTATTTGTAAGAAAGCAATTAGATTAGGTTAGGTTTACTATGAGTATGCTTAACCACCTTAACACTCGACCTCAGAGGTCTATTGTGGCTCATCCTTAGGTTAAAGTTAGTAACACTTCTACGTAGTCGTAGTTGATATTGCTTGATTGTATTGAGCCTTATCCTATATAAAAAAAGCAATTGTATATTTCGAAATATTTCTAACATTGAACAATAACCAAAGTAAAAATATCTTTTATGTGTATGTGTACAACATAAATGTGTTCTCCACGATCCACTGTGATTGCAACTACTTGTCTCATACTATTAATGAAGTCGAACATTGCCTGATTATACCACATTTCAATTAAAGCAATTTTCGCTTCCTCATTGTTTTAAAAAGCTGGAATTCTTGACATTAGTTATCTGCAGCATGTCCGAGATATTGTCAATCGAAAATCCTGTGAACATATAGGTCAATTATTTTACGATATTTTCACTTGGTTCAAAAATATTTTGTGACAAAACCAACTTCTTTGAGTCCTCTTCTAATTTGTATTGTCACTTATTCTTGTTCCACTAACTTATTTAAATTCCTTGTTTCCAAGTTTCTTGTTTTGCTTTTTGATTTATTAAATATGTTGACAATATCACTGTACCTTTTCAAGACAATTTGATTTTCTTTATAGATATACGATATAAAACTAATACCAAGTAATTTTTAATTTGAAATTCCCGTCCTCTAGAGAACATGTTCTTAAATATTTGGTCTCTTCATCGAAAAAATATTCTAATTGTTATTTATAAATACGTCTATAGATAACGTTATTTTTATAGTGATAAAAAAGAAAAGTCTTACGTATATCATTACAGTTTTTTCGGTTATTCGAGATGCGACTACAGAGTTCCTAGAGGTTAACTCTATTTGATCTTAATAATAGAGAATTAAAGCCCGCTAGATAATCATTTTCTTTTGACAAGAAAAAAAGGGATCAAGAATTTAGAAATTAAACATTACTCATTAAAAGAAAATTTTGAAAGGTCTCACTTATGTAAAGTGCCTCATTCACGTTGAGATCGGTATCGTTACATGTATCACGACGAATTGGGATACACGTGTCTTGAGATTTGTATTTGTATCTCTACGGTACCTACACGTAGACGTGGACACATGTAGAAATGGTGTTGCCACCTCCACACCAAGCAATGGTCATGTGACGGAAACAAATATACAGTGAGAAATTTGCTGCAAGAGTTAATTAAAATTAATTTTGCCTTTCTACCCATTTTAGAAACGACAATCAAGCTTAAAATACCATAATACCGCAAGTTCGGCACGTACAGTTCGTCACTAGCTGATCCACTTCTTAATTAAGGACGTTACATGTTTTCTCGTCTAGTTCTCGTCTAAAGGCACAACGAAAGCTGTGTATTCTCTTCATGAAAAAATTGCGATCACTATTAGGATACTTTTCTTTGCATTTTTTTACCAAAAGTATTATTGCCGATTCTCTAAGTTGTCTTTTTGAATCATGTCTTCCTCATGTTTCCAACCCCGTCTATCTTGCGCCGCTCTTATCCAGTTTTTATTGAGTCTTCTTAAATCGTCTTTTTGAATATTGTTTGCATTTTGAGTTTCATATGGATATAATTTGTAGAAATTGAGACATTCCTCCCAAAACTCGTGATCTGCCATATTGAAAATTAAAATTGTGTATACTTTAAGTAGCGCGATGAAAAAAATCAACATACGTTGACACAAGACTCAGTTGCATGCGCGCGGTATCAAAGTTTCACGACAGTGATACAAACGGCGATACATTTTAATACTGATTCAGCGATATTGAGACAGCCAAATACACTATGAGATTTATATCGAGATACTGATATCGACAGGTATCATAACGATCTCAACGTGAATGGAGCGCTTTAGCGTTATTTATGATTATATCCAGCCATTTTTTATTATGGAATACTAAAGTTTGGGACTTGCTTTATCAACTTAGACTTGTAAGCAAGTAAAACGGCTGTTTTATGCCAAAACAATTGCAAAAAAGATACTTATCCAGAGATTTTAATATTACATTTAGACCTAGATGCGTTGAATGCTTTTTAGGAACCTTTCTTCTTTATTTTCTCCCACGGCTGAAATATTTAGACTGAATTTTATAAAATCAATACAGCAATGCATGCGACCCAATGTGCCTTATCTATAAACGTAAAAAGTATTGTTGTTAACGTATTTAAAGACCAAAATATTGCAAAATGTCGATTATATGGTGGAAATAATTTCAGATAGTTGGAGTTGGAAAGTCGATCAACTACCAGCTTATACGTGAAGAAAAGGCTGGATCCGTGAAGCAGCCAAAATCATTCTCAGGGAGGTGTAGAAAAACTATCAACGAAGACGAAAGACACAGAAGAAAGGTACATTGCTCGTATTTTATTAATGAAATTCCCACTTTAGATAAAATTTCCGGTGAAGTGAAGGAAGATGTTCTCAAAATAAGACGATTTTTTAAGAAGGAGAAGAAGAGAATTCTTGAGGAGGCTACGATCCACACAGAGTTGTAAAGCCAAAATGATGATGATGAAGAAGAAAATTTACGGGAATTAAGTTTTAGGTGAGAAAACAATCATTAATTGAAAAAGATGAAGAGGCGAAATTATTTACGAAAAATAATAAATTATTACAATCACAACAAATATATTTGGAGGAAATGTGACAAACAAAGGTTACACTTGAAACGATATATCATGATAAAAATTTAATCTCCTCTCTCCAAGCGTTTTTAGTTGGACTATTTACTGGAATAAAAGTACCATCTGGAATAGGAAAAATACATATTATTGCCCATATCAATAATGCAGATGGAATTTTGAATGAGAGTTTTATTCATATCTTTCCATTCACACCGGTGATTACCATGAAGATATGTTATTGACAAAAGGACAAAAAACGGAATATTCTATGGGAAGTAATTTTAGAAGTACCGAAATTTTTTTGCACGTTTTTCTATATTTTATACCGTAGTTCCTTAGTTTAGAAGTTTACGAGAAACAATGTATTGCGTTTTATTTTAAAACATGTTGTTTAATCAGTAACATATGCTTTAATATTTGTGGTAATCATAGACATAATACAAATAGACAGCGCTGCAATACAGGCTCGTTCTCCCAGTGTAGACAAAACTAACGCAAATCAGTCCCTGCATCTATTTCTAATGGCGTTCCCATTGGTCATTTAAACCAATAAACCCGGCCCATTAGAAATATATGCAAGGACTTCTTTGTGTTAGTTTTCTCTGTCGCACTGGGAGAATGGGCCTGTACTACAACAGTCAGTCTGTTTGTATCCTGTGTCTATGGTGGTAAAATTGTTAATTTAATAATAACAGGTTAAATAAATTAGGAATTGATATTTAGTAATCCCTACTAAATGAATTAGAAATTTTGTCAACTTTAAATGAATTTTTATTAAAAATATAATAATAGTATTGTTTATTTCCCGTATTTTGAGTTATAATTATTCTAATTGAAAATAATTATTGTTGCAGTCGCTACTAATGTCACACTCTAATACCCCAGCCAGCGCGTCAGCCGGCCCGCCGCCCCCCACGTCGTCAGTCGCGTCAGTAGCTGCTGCCGCCGCAGCTGCGGCTGCTCAACACCCATCAGCCAGTGCCCTTGGCGCCTACCCCGTACCCCCACCACCCTCATTAATGGCTCCCCACGTGCCGCTCGCCAGTCACCATCCGCATCTAGCTGCAACTCATGCCTTGTATCACCACACGGCTCCATTCACAGAAATGCTGTGGAAAAGTAGTCCGAGAACACATTCTGCTTATGGAGTACCCACCCATATGCTAGCGGCTGCTCAACAGGGCGGTCATTCTGCTGGTCAAGTTACGTCTCCTGAAGAAATGCTTGCGGAAAGGGCTCTCGCTTTACAAGATAGAGAAAGGATGTACAGAGAAAGGCAAAACCAGGAGATGGAAAAACAGAAGGAAAAGGAAAGGATAGAAAGGGACAAACAGGAGAGGGAAAAACTTGAGCGAGACAGACAGGAAAGGGAGAAAGAATTAGAAAAAGAACGACAAGAACAGGCTTTGCACAACCATTTTGAAAAGTCTCTTAGAGCAGCTCAGCCAAAGGTAAGTTAAATAATTATTGTATAATTTGCGCCTTAAAATAAACTAAAAAATCTCAAATATAAACATTACATTTTGTTCTTTTATTCACAATACCTCTGCTATGAGGAAAACATATTAAATAGATAACTATATTCTTCGTAATGCCACATTTATATTTTATTTTTTTATGATGTTCACTTATTTGCTACTTTTGAAGTATAATGATACATATTTTAACTGATTATAGCTATCAATTTAATAAAACAATAAGAAAGTAAGGAATCCGAATAAGTTTATTATATCTTTCACAGAGGGAGCCTTGGAATCCTATAACGGGTAGACCTACTCAACCTAGGACGTCCAGTATGTCTGAAGACGATAGAAAGCGTGTTGAGGAGATGCACCACCAACAGCAACAGAGACATATGTCTGTTAGGGATAACCGGGATCATAGGTCATATTATGCACCCGTAAGTACCAACAGAATTAGTTTTAATTTGAAAATAAATATATAACTACATTTATTCAGACAAATAGTAATTAACAGGTTTTGTAAAATTGTAAATATATGTATGCCAAATGAACTCTGGTTAGGAACTTATTTCAATATGAAATCAACTAATAAAATATGACTACTATTATGCTGTATACTTGGGATTATTTTTAAAGAAAATTTGAATACATAATTGTTACAGGTTCAAAGGACAACCACCAGTATACCACCTCCTCCTCCTGCGCATCGAAGTGTTCCCTCTAAATCTAGCATAGAAAAAGTCCCTGCCATATCAGTACATCAAACCATGCCTAAAACTGAGCTAAATATTTATGGTTATCACCCATCCCTTCACTCACAAAATACCTTTTTTGAACCAAAGATAAAATCTGAAATGCACAAAACACAGACAGGAGGTTTGGTTGTTACCAAAACTGGTCAATTAGACAGAGATGGTACAGCAATGGTTAGCGAATTAAAAAATTCTGTGATTGTCAAACATGAAGCAAAGAACCCCCATCACCTAGAAAGCAGGGTATCAGTTGCTCATTCTCCTAGTCCCAAATTGAGGAATGAGATGTTAGGACATTATCAGTGTCCTACAGGACAAAAAAGTATTTACGAATACAGAAGTCCAAATCAGTCACCACACTTATCTTCTCATACATCTAGTCCTCACCATCATGTTGAAGCGCAAAATCTGGGAAAGGCAGCCAGTCATCACAGGCCTACCAGTAGTCATGTCTCAAGCCCACATCATCAAAGACAAAGTCCGCACCAGCATCCGCATAGTCAACCTCATCAAAATCCTGAGATGAGGTACCGTGCAGGATCTGAAAATCAAGCAATGCTGTACCAAACATCTGGTAAGATTTGTTTTCGTTTTTGTTTCTGCTGATTAAATTGAATGATTGAAACAAATGAATACTTTTGTATATGGCAACAATGATTTTTCTTTCTAAAATTTGTTTCAAATGTATTTATCATTTTTTTTTATTAATTATATTTATTAGAAATGTACCAAATTAAAAAATACTTTATTTGAAATTTTAGTTTCTAGATGAAAAGTTGTTTTCAAATATTTTTTCCAAAAGGGAATTTAAAAAGAATTTCTAACTGAAATTGTAGTTATTTCCCAATTCAAGGAAGATAAGACAATAATCATATCAACCTAGAGAGTAAAGAATTTTACAAATGTCTTTATAAATTGTATGAATGACATAGTTTTACATCTGATGGTAAGATAATAAGTGGGAAAAGACAGAGCAAGTTTTTGCAGTTGCACACTTGAATGTTCTAAATCTTTTAATTTTGGTCACCTATTCCACCTTTATCTTCCAGTCAGATATAAAAGTATAATTTTTTTTTATGATATTGACTCAGTCATGTTTTTTTGATTCCTTAGATTAGGGAATGTAGAAGATACAGAACAACATTTATAATTTTATAAAACTAATTATACAATGTATCATTTCAGCAAAAGCAAGTTACCCATTTACGACGGCAGGCTATACTATGATCTCCTCTGCAACACCTACTGTTGCAAACTCAAAACCGAAAGTTAGCAGTCCTGCACCTCATCAAATTTTCGGAAAACCTCCTATAGGTGGCAGTTCCTCAATGATACCAGTAACGCGACCATCACATGAGAACACTTCTCCAATATCGTTGACTGCTAAACCACCACTATCTTCATCCATTTCACCTTCACCTTATCAACAGGTAAATAACTTACTTATCCCAAACTAATAATAGTCAATACAATTAATTTAATATCAAATATATTGTAATTTACAATTGGATGTTGCAGGTATCACAATATCATCCACTTCATAACCAGCCGCCTGCTGTTATGAACTGTCCACCACCTCCTGCTCATAGTAGGACACCTATAACCACATCTGGTGTTGTGGATCGATTTGATAGATCTACACCGGGCTATGTACCTGCTGGACTTTCAGTAAAATTAGTTGGACCAGGAACGTCACCACCTACTGCTACATCGGCACCTTTACAAATATCTAGAACACATCCACAATTTCAACCTAATATGGTCGGCATTTCTCAGGTATAGTTTATTATATTTACGTATTAGTAGTAACGAGTGAACAATTTTATGTTTTTAAAGCGAAGCTTCTATACTGGCGTTGTATTACTTTCTCTGTAGTAAAAAGCTGAAGCGAGCGTCACGGAAGTAGCGCCACGAAATAGCGTACTAAATTTCGTGGCTTCTTCTTCTACTACAATAGTGCCTTTTTAAGTGAATATTTGAAAGAGTCCATTTATTCGACGAGGAGAGTCCGTTATACAATATGTAAACTTTTTTATAAAAAAATGTTATTAAAATCTATAACAAAGATATTACTAACAGCGGTTTGTATGTAATTCCTTAATATTTTTATTTTTTTTTATTTGAGTAGATTCACCACGTATTTATTAAAATTACATGTGTAATTAAAATAATAAATAATAATGTTATACATAAAATAAAAATACAGAAAACAGTATGAAACTTCGCGCTAATCTACAATACCGTCTACTGTACAACTTTTTTTAATTAGAACTGTATATTTCAGGTGCAGACTCAACCTCTAGACTTAGGTGTTAGTTCAAGTAAAATGGAGAACTATCAGGCAGTTTCGCCAAAACGAAAATCAAGTACCCCACTGAGCATACCAGGTGATCTAGGAAATCCAGTCTGTCTAGATGTAAAGAAGCGGAAGATCGAGTTGGGACCTAGTGTATCACCAATGGGAACAAGTCTCTCACCGATGGGTACCAGCGCGTCTCCACCCACGTTGAATATATTTAGTAATTCTTCTATTCAACCACAATTATCAAGAGTTACTGAGCCCAGTCCGTTAATAGCTAGTGCTGCTACAACTATTACGACTGTGGTAAATACTGCGGCGTACAGGACACCACCGACTACAATGATATCACAAACACCTACAGTACTACCTGAGAATCTACCGGATGTTAGTGTAACAGCAGTTACAATTGAACCTCCGCGACCAATTTCTATAGGTGATCAAAGTCCAAAACCACCTACACCAACTGTCCCAGCGAGCAATAGTCCGGCGCCAGTTAGTACAGCTTCAACCCCCACACCTCCTACTAGTGTAACACCAGGACCGACTGACGAACAACCAGGTACGCCGGTTAAAGTGAACCCTAGTGTGATCGACTCTGAAAAGTCAAATAGTCCTGGACCAATCAAAAGTTCATCTAGCGGTAGTTACCCAGTGAGACATTTGAAGAAAGCATGGTTACAGAGGCACACTGGTGAAGATGCCGAAGATACAACGGGCGTTGTCGGATCTGGTAGTTGTGTAACATTACCATTAAATATAAAAACAACAACACCACCTCCTGCTCCCGTTAGAGAAAATCCAGTTAACTCAATACATTCGATAGGTACAATGGCAGTAAACAGTATAAGTAAACCTAAACACTTTTCCAACAAAAATGCTAACAGAAAAGTTGCTAAAGAAACTACAGTTAATGGCGATACAAAAAACGACGATTCATCAAGTAGTGATCAAGACAGAGGCAGAAAGTCGCCACCAAAAAGGAAACCTCCCAAAGTCAAGCGAAAAAAAAGGCGGGGGGTCCGCAGTGAAGAAAGCCGTCGACGAAAAGAAGAGGAAAAGCGGACCCCAAGCGACGCCGACGGCGCCCAGCGAAAGCGGAAGCGACAGCGAAAAAGAAAGCGGGAGCGACAAAGACTCAGACTCAGGAGCGAGCGGATCAGCGCACGCCAAAAAGTCAGTAAACTTGGTGGGAAAAGAGCAACGAAAACGTGGTAGAAAACCAAAGGGTCAAAAAAACGATAAAAGCGAGGAGCCACGACCGAAGAAAATCAAAGAGGAAGATATTCAGCCCCAGCGTGACCCCTTTCGCAAACCACCAGTGGGGCAGTTAAAGAAGACTGGGGAGAGCTTTTTGCAAGATGGTCCGTGTTTTGAGGTTGCACCGAAATTAGCCAAATGCCGAGAATGTAGATGGACTCCCAATCAACGTTCTAAGAATATGGCTAACATATTTTGCAGATTTTATGCATTTAGACGATTGAGGTACACCAAGAGCGGACAACTTGCCATTGCAGGATTCTCTGATCCACACAAAGATGCTTTAGAGGTAAGCATATTAATTAATTATTGTTTAATAAAAGATATCAAAAAAACACTTCATAACAATTTTTTTTTATTTTTTTCTAATAATACATAACAAATTTGATTGCAAACTTTACTTTCATATTACTTTACTTTAATTTCATATTTGATCATAATTTAGGTACAGATGATGACAATTATTTAAATATCCCGAATACTAAAAGCCTGTAGTTTTAAAGCTTGGATCCAGTATAGGAGTCCAGTAAGTGGTAACCTCCTTGATACTGCTGGTATAAACGAGCTGTCATTGGAATTAATGTGCTTATGGTGACATAGATATATCCTCTGAACTGTTTCTTTACTTCTTCTACTGAATATAAAACAATTTTAACATCTATTAGCTACTCTTCAATTTCATTTGCTGTCTACACTGCTGATGGGTCGATAGAGAAAACGGGTACCTGGCTAATAGTACGCCCTAAAAGTCTAAAAATTGTTCCAATAAGTATGCCTCTCCAGAAATGCCAGCATGATGCTATATTTTTCGAATTTGGTCACTCGCCTTCACACTTCATTTTTCACGTCAATTAATATGTTCAAAAGCTATGCAAAATTTTAGACATTTTTTTATACATTTCATATCAAGTTGAGCGTATGAGCAAAAATGGCCTATGTCTTGTCTTGTTAATAAGTTTATCCTACACACACAACATACAACTTGAACCGGCGAAGGTTGATCTTGATAACAACAGCTGAGCAGACAAGCTGACACAGCCACAGCCACCTAAATTAAGTACAATAAACTTTTATTTACTTAGTATATTGAGTGAGCTTTATAAAATTATTACCTATATGGATTAGCTGTATTATATTACATAACTGCCAATACAATATATTAATTCTATGGACGATACATGGAATCCCAAATATGTAATATCGATAGTTAAATATGGATATAAAAATATTGATCCAATTTTAAAATATATTGATATAGTTAATGTATCGATACAAAATCACAGTCAACAATTTGGTAATATTTACAATTTACAATGTTTGATACAATTACTTCAACATTTTAGCAACATTTTTTTTTGTTTTTATTCCCTGCTTAAGATTATCCTAAACTAATTAAATTAATTTAAAACATTGCTAAACCAATTTCCATGTCCCATGCTCCATGAACCATGTTCTACTTCGGCCAGCGCGATTGTAATGCGCAACCGTTATGGCAATCTGTCAGTTGTTCTAAAATAAATGTTCAACATTATTTTACATTTCACTCCAAGAAAATTTCTTAATTTATATATACAATCCATTAAAATCGAAGTAGGTTGTTACACAAATGATATGTGTTATCAATGATTAACATAGGTCAGATTGAATGTTTGGAACCAATAATTTTTACACCATTTCCAAAATATCACAGGGTTCATTGCTGATAATTGTCTAAAAATGAGATGTTTTTTGTTGATACTATACTGCAATCTGTGTGTAAAATTTCTTTAGTTCTATTTTGTTTCAAATAATAGATAATATGAACCATACTGTAGTTTAAAATTATTTCTTTCTAAGAAATTTTTAACATAAATAAAAGTATAGTGTCAGCAGCATATATAAACTAATTATCCTATACTACGTTCCAAATTTAGAAAATAACATTGCGGAGATAGGGCCATGTATTTCTTATGGACGATAGCAACGCGGCGTTGCCACGACACACACAAGCACAATTTAGGGTTGTATAATTTGTATTTTTGTTTCCACAAACATGAATTAAATTAATGTTTTTTAACGTAATTGACCAAAAGTGCCCATTCGAAACAAGAGATGAAAAGTAGGGAAAATGATTTTAATTAGATAAATAGTATTTACAAAAGATAATTTTATTTTATCTTATTTTAATTATAGTAACGACAGTTTATTTGTTTTTCAGTAGAAAAAATCAGTAGAAAATATTGACCGCTTGGAATGCGTATATCTAATTACTAATTGCAACTTAAAATAATACAATGTGTGTATCTCAGCTATTTTATGTCGTTCTCTGACTACATAATGATAATAAGGCTTTTATTTAGTAGTTATTCTGACTTTACAGTTAAATGTTAATTGAAAATGAAAATTCAAAAATTAAGCAAAGGGAATATCTTGGACATCCATGCAAAAGAGAGTGTCTGAGAGTTTTGGCAACACTGATCTCCATAAGCGTAATGTTATTTTCTTAACTTGAAACAAAGAATAGTACAAATTCAATGATGTTTTTAAGTATTTGCTACTCTTGAAGTACATTGACGAAAAATCACAACTGAGCACACAGCCTATTACAAAATTGTATATATTGTAGTCCCATTTTTGTTAAATCTTCATTTTTCAATTTCAGGAGGATGTCAGGCTGTGGCTCCCAAATGCAGAGAATGCACCAGCAGATCTAGATCTAGAAACGTCCAGGTTTTTATTAAAACAAGTTGGTGATCATTTTTGTGATTTGTTAGTACAAGAAAAAGAAGCTCATTCAGAGCATTTGGCTGATGGTAAGTATCAATTAATATGTATAAATAAAGTTAATATTAAATAATATTATTACAATGTATGTTAAAACATCGATTAATATTTAATTTATTACTCGTTGACCTTTTATATATTATCAAAACTGACCTTGAGAAATTAATAATTGATTGGTATATTGGTATGGGATCATGTGCACTTCAAATTATTCTCCTGAATCCATTGTAAACAACTGCCAATCAATGTTGTATCCACTCACTAGTTTTTTATTTATTTTATCAGGAATTGTTGAATTAGTGGTCCACAGAAATGTTTTCTATTTAAAACCTTCATCATGAAAGCTTTTGTTTTGTTCATTAGTATTTTAATACATTGCAAAGCCAGTTTTGCAAATTGTTTCTGTCCTGAGTATCTCTATATTGTTGTGATTGTCCACCTGACAGTGGAAACGCTACTTGAATTAACTTCTGAAATGTACATACAAGGTTAGTCGTTTTCTTCTATATCATCATCATCATTGAGGCCCTCATTCCGGTGGAATGTTTGCCGCTCTTACTTAAAGCTCTTTGATTTGCTTATTGCGGTGAATCACACAGCATTTTTCTTGTATATTGCCAAAGTTTGCTGTATGAATTGACTTTCGTTACAATTTTCTTCTCTCACTCATTTCAATCTGTGCATAGGTTCCTCCAGTTTCTCTCTTTCAGGATTTTGATATCTCGCATGACCTAGCCCTCTCATCTTTCTCTAGGTCATCCCCTCGGTCTTTCAGTTTCTGGCTTCTATATGGTGATCTTTTTAATCAGTAGGTCGGTTATGTGTCCCAGCCATATTAATCTCTGGTTTTTTGTATTAATTACTTAAAAAAGAACGAAATAGATAATAAATTTCCTCTAGTTTTTAATACGAGAAAGACAAACGTATCCTAACCATAATTCTTTTTCGTTTGCATGTTTGTTTGCATTTGAAGAGGTATACTTTCTAACGGATGTGAATCTTGAACCCTAAGACAAGTGGAAAGTAGAAAGATATACGTCACTGTTCTGTATATGTTTTGTTGTAGAAGAATTTTATAAATTCTGTGGAATGACCACAGGACAAATAATTCAATTTTAAATGAGCTAAAGGTCATCAAACGGCTCTTCAACAAAGTCCATCTTTAACAATTAAAATACATTGGACATGTTATAAGAGCAAACACAGAAAGACTTATTATCCAAGGAAAGATAGAAGGTCAAAGATCACGAAGAAGACCCCCAATAAGGCGGATTGCTCAAATTATAGGAATATGCAAAAGAACTATGTATGAATTAAAAGAAATGACCAGAGACAGCGATCTTTGGAGACAGACGGATGTCATCAAGATGTAATAGATGGAGATAGATGTAATATTACACTATTTCCTCAGACATATTAATTCTATTTTGTTTTTATAAATGGTACAATTACAACACAAGATAGCTTTAAATTATTTGTTTATAAAAAAACATATTTTTTTAAATTGATGCCTCAAATTTTGTATTTTTCTTTACAGATAAAACTGTAGCGTGGAAGAGAGTGGTGCAAGGTGTTCGAGAAATGTGCGATGTATGTGAAACGACGTTGTTCAATTTTCATTGGGCTTGTGGAAAATGTGGTTTCGTTGTGTGTATAGATTGTTATAAGGTAAGTTACATTTTATTTTTGAAATTTTTTACTAAACTGGTCAAACGCTGTATGGCAGTAACTTCGTTATTTTATTATGTCGTTTAAGAACTTCAATCAACTTTGCAAAGTCTAATAATGTTTTTTTTTCATTTTTAACACTTCCGCTTTTCGCTGTATAATTACCCAAGTTCTTAATAAAACATTTTAGTTTTTAAACAAGCCATAGTGAAATAGTTGCATTTTGACTTCAGTTTATTGTATATGGCAGGTTAAAAAATATGTGATATTGTTTTAGGGTCGCAAACGGGGAACGGTTAAACTATGGGTAGAAGCCAATAAAGATCGTGATGAATACTCCTGGTTATTATGTACAAACCGACAAGTACATGAACAAGAAAAACTAATGCTAACTCAAATAATAGCTGGAGATTCTTTAATTAAATTAGGGAAGATGGTTCACGAGATGAGAGAATTGTGGGACATCGAGCAATTTTGTGAATGTCCAGCATCTAAAGAAGTCAAGAACAATAATCAACAGGTCAAGGAAGTCGTCAAGGCCCTATTAGGCTATTATAATGTTAATGGGGTGAAGAAAAAGATTAAAGAAGAACGTGGTAAGTAAATTTCACATAAAACAAGGTTACTATTATATGTAAATAACAATTTTTTACTTTTATTAAGCCAATTTGGGGTTTAAAAACTGCAGCCACTCTCCTAGACATGCTATTAATGCATCTTGCTGCTATTTCTTTTAAATGGTCATTATAATTTCAATGAGAAGTGATTGTATTAACCGAACCTTTTTTGTTGTGGTATCCTTGATAAATTTCCTTTTTAGGCACTCCCAGACATTTTTTATGGGGTTCATACCTTGTCAAGGTGCTCCATCCTCCATAAAGATTTTGCGACCATTACTAAACCGTTCGTTCATTTGTAGAACCAATCTTGTCTTTTGTATTGGTCCTGACGCATTTTCCCCTTTATAAAATAATAACGTCCCATTCGTGTGCTACTCATTACAGATCATTACTGAGGTGGGAAGTTTAATTGTTTTTATTACAAATCCCTTTTCATATTTTTCAGATTTGAATAAAAGTTGTAAAGTATGAAAACAAAATTATTTTTATTACCTTACGTTTTGTCAATCATCAATAGTCCAGTCTTTATGCAAATTCGTCCAAGCTAAGCAAATCTTGAAACACTTGTGTTAGTTTTGGCTTCTTAACAAGTGTACAAATGCTGTACAGCTTTCGATATACAGTGGCCTTATATCTCTGTGGGTGACTCTTCTGTATTTTACTGCCCAAACCTTTAAAATTCTTTACCCTCTGAAAGCTTTCTGATACACTGATCGTTCCAAATCCACGGAATAGGATGTTTCTCTTTGACGATTGAGATTGTCTTGTATTACTCTTTAACTGTAGTCTGCAGACTGTAGTCAATATGTAGTATTTTCAAATAAAGCAGTAACAGAAAAGATGAACAGAATGATCTTTATATTTACTCATCTGAAAAAATTAGAAAGTAATGACTGCAAATTTTACAAAAGTTAAACATGTAATTACTAATTTAAGTAAAAATCTAAAGTTGGAAAAATCAAGGTACTGCAGACTTTTAACACATTCTATTGCCATCTGCCAAGCTTTGACAATTTAATAAAAAAATTCCACCATGAGTATGATTATTCACTAATTCTTATGCAACCCATTCAGCAGCTATGTATGATTGTGAAGATACTTTTAGGGCGCTTGAAATTAAAAAAACTGAAATTTCTAGAGTGTCTAATAATTTAGACAGGGACTGTAAATCAGCTTTACATCTCTTTTAGATTTTTAGCTCTTTCTACTTAATTTGATTGCTACATTTCTATATACTTTCCAAGTTGTTTACAGGAATAATACATCTCGGGAATCAAAATATATTTCGTACCTAGCAGGTAGTATAGTTCCATTCTCTGTAGAGTTATTCAATCTTATTTATTGCTTTTTTTTTTTATTTCGGTGGCTATCTTTAACTTGCTCCTATGGATCGAGTTTTATGTTTATATGCTTTTTGGCAAACCTTCCATTTGCCATTTTTTATATAGGTATGTCCCAGCCACCTAAATCATCGAGATTTTTTTTAGGCCTTTTATAATAGGTTCTTGATATAGCTCTTTTAGGTCCTTATTTGTTCCTCCTCAATACTTGATTTATTTTGTATTTTAGCCCCAAATATCTTTTATAATAGTTATTTTTTTTAGATTCAGGTCCTGACCACGAAATCAAAAAAGAAGTCAGCAGCAGTGACGATGAAGGCAATTTCTCCACTCTAAGGGAACTACTCATCCGACCATCTCACAAACCAAATGGCTCGAGAGCCGCTTCGCCTATAATTAAAAATGAATCTAAAAAGAAAATATCACCTTCAAAAGCGTCTGATCTGGTTGACGATGCTATAGCGAGTGTTATAGAGGACAGTGTAGCTCAAAATCCAGCCGAATCTAGAGAGCTGAAGCATTACATCAGGAGGTACCATTGGCAACAAAAAGGAAGGGGGCAGTTACCTATAAGGATAATGACCTTGACCGAAAGTAAATTGATGTATCCTAATACTCCACACAGTTGGTTGTGCGATGGAAAACTTTTGAGGTTGAGCGATCCTAGCTCTTTGGAGAATTACAAAATTTTTCAAGTAAGTAACATTTATTTATTATTTTGCATTTTTGTTTTTGTTATTATTTTTTACTTAGTCCGTGTAATTGATTAAATATTACTAAAGTATGAATTATTTCTTTCAGGATCAGTGGGGACGTGGTCAACCCATAGTCGTTTCAGATGTAACGCGAACTTTCAATGCTGAGCTGTGGACTCCGGAATCCTTCGCTCGGGACTTCGGAGACGAGAAAAACGATCTAGTCAACTGCATGACAGGAAAAGTGTTGCCGAATCAAACGATGCGCAAATTCTGGGAAGGATTCGACCATTTCACCAAGCGTTTGAAAGATGATAGAGGCCAAGCGATGTTGCTCAAATTAAAAGACTGGCCACCAGGTGAAGATTTTGCAGAAGTGTTGCCTACAAGATTTGCAGATCTCATGAAAGTGCTACCTTTGTCTGAATATACACGACGAACTGGGCGAATTAATCTAGCTAGCAGGTTTGTTTGAAGTTTTGTACTGTAAATTGTGCATCTCACTTATCACATAGCGTGAATAAATTTATTACTCCAATTTAGTCAAACATGTCATGAAAACCAATTCAATCTTTGTGCTTTGTGCAATATTTTTTTCAAAATCTTTTATTTTTTAATTCGCGTATTTCAAATCCACAATTGAATAAAAATTGTATTTTGACAACGACCTCTGAACTGCATATCAAAACGTCCAGCTTTTCCTATTTTTGAATTGGTTAATTCCCAATAATATATAAAGAAATGACAAGATGCAATATGAAAAAGCATGAGAAAATTATTTGTTTTATTTTGTTGCTTTATTTTCAACTGTAAATTTCTTTTCAGGTTACCGGATTGTTTCGTACGTCCTGACCTGGGTCCAAAGTTGTACATTGCTTATGGTTCACCTCTTCATCCAAGTAAAGGAACCACAAACCTCCATCTTGACATTTCCGATGCTGTCAACGTCATGATGCATGTAGGTATTCCCAAAGATGTTGATGCTGATGAGAATATTAAAGAAGTATTCCGCTCCATTGATGAGGCTGGTTGTGACATATTAACGCGAAGGCGCGTTAGAGATAAAGGAGGATTACCTGGAGCACTTTGGCACATTTATAATGCTCGAGACGCTGATAAGATACGGGACTTGCTAAATAAAGTGGTGATTGAAAAAGGAGGACGACTAGAACCAAACAATGATCCAATTCACGATCAGAGTTGGTACTTGGACGGACCGCTGAGGGAAAGGCTGTATAAGGAATACGGCGTGGAAGGTTATGCCATTGTACAATGTAAAGGGGACGCTGTGTTTATTCCAGCAGGAGCACCGCATCAAGTTCGGAACTTGCATAATTGTATTAAGGTAAATACTTTTTTGTTTATTTTTTTAAACCCTTTTCCACCCAATTTTTTTTTTTTCAATAAATTTATAAATCTTAAATCTCAAAAAAAACAAGAAAAAATAATTGTTGATAACTTTTGTAAAAATTTTGCATCCTAGAGTCTTCAAACTCAAAAAAATTGATCCCATTTGGAATCATCTGGCGTTGGTGGTACCTGAATTATCCATTTATAATACTTGATATAGTGGTCTGGTAAAAAATTGACTACAACAGGAAATAAATTTATTATTGCACTTATACTATTAACAATTTAATTTTGTACATGGAAACTATAAAAAAGAATTTTTATTATTGTTTAAACATAAAAAACATTGCACTTAAAACATTTTATTCTAGAGTAAGCGTAATCGAACATCTTGCACTGGTGCAGGATGCATTACTTGTCTCTTATTTGGTGTATTGTCTTGAGAAGGATGTCCTCGTTTTCTCTTGTCGGACTTTCCAGCTTTCAGTACTTAAGATTTCAGTACTTTCCAACTTGAGATTTGGATTGGAGAAGAGTGATGTGTTTCACTTGTTTTTGTTTGCAGTGTCTTCGGTACAGCAACCAGGAGTTGACAATACATGTATCAATAATATTAAATATTATTCTCAAATAGAATCTTTTTGGTTTGATTTTGATTCTATATAGTTCCACAAGCATGTCATGCAAATCCACATCCCTCATCGAAATATTATATTCTTTGACAATTGCTGGCCGTTCGATTTCTACATAGGTTTTGCTCTTGTTACACCATGTCTTAACTTTAGAGCAGTAATATTTTTTTTGCTGTTTATTTTTACATCAGAGGATCCACGACCTTTTGCCATTAGAACTTTGTCTTCTGAAAAAAGACAACCTGAGAACCGTCCACTTCTTACAGTCCCTGCAGCAAGGAAGTCCCGTTCTTTCAGACTAATAAGTAGATTATAAGATGTGAACCAATTATCCATGAAAATTTTGAAATTCACGTGGCTTGGCATATTTCTGACCAACTGTAGTACTGTTTCCCCACTAATTTCAAGACCTGATTTATCTTGAACTGTTCCTTTCCCCGCATATATCTCAAAATCGTATAGTATGCCGCTGCGTCCTGCTCTTGCAAAAACTTTTATGCCCCATTTATGAGGTTTATTTTTTATATATTGCTTTAGATTACTTTGTCCTTTAAATGGTATAATAAACTCATCGATGCTGTTGACTTCCTCAGTTCTATTTTATTCATATTTTGCCGAACTTTTGTATTATATCGCGTTTCTTCTGCCCAATACATTCTACTATACGAAGCAACATGAACAATTATTCCACTCAATACATGTATGCTTAAGAACTGCTCTATCTCTGCTGCATTTGTATAGATATTTTTACTGTCTTTTTGCACAGAATACAAGTTTGTTTGTTCAAAAAAATTTTAACTAATATAATTGTCACAAAGTATTTTAAAATATTGGAAAGGCGTATAAATATTTTCACAAACCGAAAAATCACCAGTGTATTCGCTGTTTACATCAATTAAATTGTTGTCCGTCCAAGTTGGTTTTTCTATGCTATTTTTTCGTCTTGGCATGACTTCTCTGTGGCTCTTCTGTAATTTCTTTAACAGTTTTTTCTTCCATATTCTCCTTCCAAAGTCTCTTCCTTATTATAACATCAAATTCGATATCACAGTCGTCAAGAAGACCAACTACCTCTTCCTGGGACGGATTTTGCAATTCCCGAAAAGAAAGTTTGGTTTTGGTAGTTTTGAACACACGATCCATCTGAAATTAAAAAGTATATTGTACTTTTGTATTTTATTGACAGAAACAAAATTCACACGACTTCCCAATGATGTCATTTGGAGACCTCCACAATGGCCCAATGATTCTATTTGGATTCAGTATTCAGGATTCAGTAAGCTGCCATTATATCCGCCCATATAAAGGGCGGACCTAATATACCTCTCTTTTTTTTAAACAGGTGTTTCTCACTCCATCTCACGTGAGGTCCATACCGACCATAAACTTTTACCTACACTGTATAATTACTATTATAAACAAGATACATACGTGAAAACTATGTGAATACAATTATGATTATATACATATGTATAAGTAAATCACCAGTAAAAGCTTAATTAACAATGAAATGAATAAACCTTGTTAATAAAGAGAAACAACATGCATGCAGCGATAGATATACGAATAATATTGACCTTAATGCAATTATTAATAAAAGGATCATTCCCTATAAAAGCATAAAATGATTTCCTCGCCATTTAATCGATGTGGATACAGTTTCCGAAGACTTTCAAATCGAACTGATGGACATGCAGAGTAATACCGATTAAGAAAATGTATTTTTATCAGTAAACATCGAAAATATTTTCGAAATGAATCAAAAATGACCACCGATCAAGACTGAGTGAAGCACGATTAGAAAGATGCGTATGTGTAGTTACCTCATCAATTTCGACTGATATTGACCAGCTTGTATCGAAAAAACAATGCCAAATTTCTCATTAAAAATTTCAAGTAAATTCATATTTCTTTTCTTATTTGTTTTTATTCTGCATTGAAATTTTCTATACATCTCTTTACTTTTTTTAAATTTAAATTTTTTTATTCCAATTTTTATTATAAATAAGTTTTTGTAAATTATTAATAAGTGTTACTTTATGCGCAGACCGCCAATAAATTTTAAAATTTAAATTGGCCCGTTGATTAAATAGGTTGCTCACCCCTGGTTCGGCACAAACAATTGTAAACTTTCAGGGAATAATTAAAAAATGAGTTATACAAGTAAACCTACTCCTGTATCAGCAAAAATATAATGTTGTGTATAACTGTACTTTACCATGTGATAGTGCAATTTCTAAGTGCAAAAAGACACCCTTCCTGGGCGATTTTCATGAACTAAATGAAATAAATGACGATTCTAGGAGATGCGGTCGAACTCCTACTCGCGTTAATATTATTGTTTAATTCTTAAAGCAAGTGGTATATTTTCTACTTTTGATTTGTCCTACTGGCATTTAGTAGGCACTATATGTGAGATGCTTAGTACGAATTAGAGTTAATTCCCATTTAATATTTAATTTAATATTTCCAATATTTCAAATATTGTGCGAACAGCTGCGAAACTGCAACACTTTAAGACCCATCTTTTATTCGGAAAGACTTGCGCCCACCACTAATTAAATACCGCGATTTACTGCACCAGTGCCACCAATGCATAATAATTCTACTAATTATTATATACGAATTAACTAATGTCTACACATACCTATTATATGCAGGTACACGAGCACGCCATATAAATAACAATATTCATAAAACAAAATGTAGGACAACACTATGACTAAATAACTATGACACTATAACTAAGATACACACTCTCTAATCACGCTATATTTATTACTAATTCTATTATTATTACTAATTCTATTATTATTACTAATAATTTTTTTTTTTTAATTCCAGGTGGCTCAAGACTTCGTTTCGCCGGAGAACGTAGCTCATTGCTTCCACTTGACACAGGAATTCCGTGATCTAACAGAAACCCATTCTAATCATGAGGATAAACTTCAAATTAAGAATATTATCTATCATGCCGTGAAAGACTCACTCTCAACACTAAGTGCAATAATAAACAGCCACATAAACGTAAAAGGCGAAAAAGATATCAAATCTGAAAAGGATATAAAAACGGAGAAAGATGTAAAAAGTGAAAAAGATTCTTCCAGCAGTGACCGAAGTAACGGTAGTACTTCAAATGATGCCAAATCGGACTGAATTTTGTGGCAACCTGAATTTTATTGTGATAATAGTAGACGCGATTATCTGTTCATTAAAAGATAAATGTAGACAGTATAAAAAGAATTGACCGAAATGCTTTTGCCGCCATTACAAATACTGTAACATTGTGAATCTATAAATGTGTGATATTGACTCTTAGGGGTGCGAGACGAAAAACGAGGAGTGTCGAACATTCTCCCCCGTTTTTGCTACATTCCTGAAGACGTTTTTAAGTGTTTTGAGCGTTTTTCCTGTTGTTTTTCCTTTTTGTATATACTTGTACAAAAATGTGCCTGTTATTAAGTTTTTTTGAATGATTTTAAATGCTGAATATGCACGGTTTACCTTCCTGTATGTAGAGACTAGTGGCCATTAGGCGAATCCCGACCTGTACTTTATTCTATTATACACTCTTTTTTGGTTGTTTGATGTACGCCAGTCGGCCTTTTATCGTGTATAACTTGTCGGACAAGCCGCAGAAGTAACCACAAGTCAGTCAAATTTGATGTTTGAAATTCAAATTGTAAAATGTAATCGTGTGCGGTAAACATTTCATACATTTTTTAGTACTACTACGTAATAAGGAACTCTTATCTTTAAAAGGTGGTTGTTATAAAACGTGGAATATTGTTATACTAAATAATCTGGATAGACTCAGCTGGTACTTAATGATTAATTCGTTTTATAAATAAATCACTTTCCAATTTGTTTAACACACGCGTTCAGTTTAATAAATTTGTACGTTTGACAATGTCTTTAAGTGAAAGTCAACTATTGAAATTTCTTTCTTCACTAAACAGTGATTTTTGTTTAGGTTTAGCATCTGTTGTTCTATTTTTTTTATAATGCAAGATAACTTAACAAATGTTTCGTAAAACGGACCAGCCCGTTCCCTTACCTTTTTCCTCTTTTAAATTTTCTTTATTTGCGTTGTGTTTGAACTAGACGCATTAGCGCAACTACGACCACATTTCAGATGTTCCATTACCTGTTTGTTTGTCTCTCTGGTGATATTAGTGCTTATTTTACTTAACTAATTTCTTATTCTGTGCTTATAAGACCAGATAATAGTTTTTAACACTTTTTTCTTTTGTCCTAAGTTCTTGGACAGTAAGCCAGATTTTGCTACCACCTTATAAAGTACTAAATTAAAAATTTCTATCATTTCAGAGTTTGTGTAAAAATATTACAAGATGAAATTCTTACCGCACTATAACTACTGTAAAAAGTGTACTTTATTCCTTTTAAGTATTTGTATATCTGTGATTTTACACTAAAGTATATGTGGCTAATTTCTGCTGTTGCTGCACAAGGCCTTTGTATATCAATGTTTAAAAGTACCAATGGTTATTTTTCAACTAATTGTATACTGTGCCTGTCAAAAAAGAGAAAATATAATGGTATTTTTAGCAGTCCGCTATTCAGTATTCAATGTGGGTAAAAAAATGTTCAGACTTTATAATAGATAGAAGCGGGTATATGTGTATTTAGATTCATTCATATTGCGAACAGTTCCGATTGGGCACCGCGAAAACCACGCTGTAATTTTTATTAGTATGATCATTTCACAAACTGAATGCATCTACCTACACACTTATCTAGAAGAGTGTTAGAATTATGCAAAAGAGATGTTACTGAATCCGGTAACATGTGTATTAAGAAAAAAATCGATTTTGTAACACCTCTATTTTTGAGAAAACTTTAAAGTGCTATTTCGAAGTGCCAATTGATTATTTTAGGGGGAACGACGTAGCGATTGGTTGGGTCAGCGGCGGGGCGATCAACATTTTGGGGGTAATTGGTTGTTCGATTTTGACTCGGCTTAGAGGGGGCGTCGCAAGTTAAAAATGATCTCGATTTGTGTTTTTCTTTACAACGATTAGTGTAATTAATGATTCCACTTTTAGAGATCACCTTTCGAGTTCTATTTTGAAGTAAAGAAAATATAGAGTTTATTTACAAAAATAGGTGTCTTACGAACGTGACCTAAGTTTTTAAAAAAAAATATGAAAGATTTAAAATATTCTATTAATATACTAACTGTAATTTTTATTCTTAAACATATCTAAACAAAACAGAAAAGTCCATTCACACAGAAATGTTGACAAAACTATGAGTTCAACACAAAACCTACATTTATCATGTTATGCGTTTGTGTATGTAAATGCTGCTTGCTCTATTTAATCTTGTTTATGGCATTAATTATAATGTAATTTCAAGTCCTTCTTTTTATAATAATAATATAATATACAATATCACTCTAAATCGTGCTTAAGTCCGGAATTTGCACCTAACGTGTCTAGCTCTACGCCTACTTAATCTACATTACATAAATTCCTTTGACCTACCATCGAGGAAAGTATTTCATTTTTAGACTCGATGTACATCCGATGGAGCCAAATGTGGGGAATAGGCGGGTTTGTTCTAACACTTTATAGTGCAAATCAACTTATCCTCACTGCCAAAACAAAATTGTTTTCACATCCAAAAACACCAACGCCAAGATCTTTCGTCGGAAGTGAAAAACCATTGTTTGATTTCGGTTTAATCTCGCTAAACGCATTTCGAAATTTTTTTGCGAATACGCTTGTAATCCTTAGTGAGTATATGTAGCATTCATCTTTCGTAAAGCTGTTTTATGTTCAAATCGTGGTGAAAGATGTGCCGATCTTACAAAATTTCTTTCTCTATGAATTCTCATCTACTTGCAGTTTTTAGACGTCCTTCAATCGGCACTTACCAAATAGTAGTGATTTGAAGACAATTTGCTCACCTCTCACTTCATACAGATTCCAAACGAAATGAGCAAATTTAAAGATGATAATATTCCTGTTGTTATTGCAATCAATCCATATCAAGTTTTATTGTTTGCTCATGGATTTACACACCTAATCCTAACATTTTCATCACTCGGTTCATCTTTTTAATCTGAACATAGGGAGTCACCTGAACTAGAAAAACATTAAAACCTCGAACATGAACAATTCGAAAAAACCTTTTTAAACTTCAGTATGTTACCTACATCAAACGGAAAACATTGTCTTAAAAATGCTAAAACATGTATTCACCTTTTTTTTCCATCAAACAATTGTTCTATTTTGACAAAATATGTGAACAACAAACATACAAACCTGATTTATTTAGAACAATATTTGATATTTTAACTTACAAATATTTAGGTTTCTATTAGTCAAACGGCATATCGTCTGTGTCTTTCTAATACCTCGTAACCCCAAAATCGCGATTGTTCAGGAGACAAGAAAAACCGTTTTTAATTTTTGTGGAATGGTTGACGATTGATTTTTTTACATTTTCATTTGTTTTTAAAACTACCTTACATATCTTAAAAAAGAATTTTACTAATTTTTTAGTTTTTAGCCTTTTAATGTGGGTTACGAGTAAATCGTTTTCACGATGTTTTAAAAAATGTGGCTTACAAGGTATTTTCCTACATTGGTTCTATTACAATTTCCTATAATTAGATTACGTTTAGCCATCCTATTTTACGGAATTTGAAACGATAAATACTTTATTGCTTTTATTAATAAAAATATATTTTATGCAAACTGACAAAGAGAAATACAATGTGAACAAACTTAACATTATTTATCAAAATGAGGTAACGTATCATAAAATGTATGGCAGTCTACTGGAATTACTTCTTTCAGTTGTTGAAGATGACAATATTTTTCATATTTTATTTTCCTTCTCTCTTTGTTCATTTGAGGCCAAACAACCGGTAACTTAACAAGTTTTGGTCTTTGAGGTAGCAAACTCCAGTCATCGTCAAAGTTTAATTTATAGTAAATAGTTCCTTCTGGAACATACTTTAAGGCTCGTATATCATTTACTGTAGGATCGCCTGCTGTCTAAAAGTAAGAATTATCAAATAATAATAATAATAGTTTTAGAAATGTTTACATATTATTTATCACAACGTAGTAGGTAGGTACTCACTTTTCCAGGTCTAATTGATGAGTATCGATGATTCTTCTTTGAAGTGTAATCAAGAAAATCGGTATACTGCATTTGTTTGACTTCATATGGAAATGGATTCTTTCTTGCTCGTTTAGTTTCTCGTATAAAATCGCTTGGCAAATGAATGTCACGTCCCTTTAACTGCCTTTCGATACAACTATGGACCGAGTCACATTCCATTTGCGTGTGACCTACCTCTAAATACTTCTGCATAATTACAATCCGTTTTTCCACGGAATATTGCAAGAGTGCGTTTGACAACACCACATTTCGGTTCTGGTACGTGCATCCGTCGCTGTAAATTATCAAGCTACCCTTTACATTATGACAGTGCTTGGACAAATACTGTATTATACAAGTTGTGAAAGTAGAAGCAGTCATATCTGCTTCGACCTCTGTAAACCAAAAACAAGTACTATGATGACTAACTAAATCATACACAGTAAAGTTGTGGCATGATAATTTTGTTTTATAAAAAATTGCACTAGCTGTAACAAACGGGCAGACTTTAATGGCTTCTAAATCCATTGCCAATACGCATACACCAGATTCTTTATCTTTCTGCTTTTCCTCTCTTGCTCTATCCTTTTTTAGTATATGAAGTTGGTAGTCATCTTCTGCAAGCTGACCAACTTCATACTTTACACAAACGTCACATTTATCCTTCTTAATTGGATGAATTGACAAATTCATTAAATGAAATGTGTCACTAAAGACACTTCGCGACATCGGTTGTTGTTTTTCTTCTAAGCATTTGGTCTTGTATACTTCGTAAAGATGTTGTATATTACGAAACACGTCTTCCAGGTAAAGTTTCGAGGAATTGGCTCTTCCATAGTGTGATGGAAGTTTGGGTAAGCTATTAAAAAATTCAGTCATAAATAGCTTGCTTCCAGTTTGTACCTGTTTATTGGGCAATGTCTCTTCAATTTGTTTATTCGAATCGCTCATTCCATGCTTACCTTTCTTTACCCAATCCATAACGCAGTATTCACCTAAATCTAATGATTGTAAAAACATCTTTTTGCACACTTGTACTTTGGAGTTATTGATACTTAAATAGTAATTTAATGTGGTATGCCTGCGACTCAATTCACGTTGGGTATATACTCGTTTCCGGGGTACACTCATTACATGGTTAACAACATAAACTTTTCGTTGCTCCCAATTCATGGTATTCCAAAATGCTTTAAAAACTTCTACGCGCTGCTCTTGTGTTATTTGCGAACATTGCTTTGATTTAACTCTTAAACATTCTTTGGAAGTACAAGTTGGTCCAATTTGTCTTTCTTTTCTTTTAGCATCATTTGTTACTTTGCCGAGAACATTTCGGTAACCGATATAAGCCTTACCTTCCATTCTGAGTTGTTTGTTATGATTTTTAGCCCAGCTCTCAGGCTTCCGTTTACGGTTTCGTTTTCTTAACACTGTAGTTGCTTCTTTCTGAATATGTAGCTGCGTTAGATGTTCGTGATTATCCGAAAGAGTATGTTCGAGAGAGGCTGTAATAGGAGTAGGGTCTGTAATAATTTCAATTTGAAAATCATCAACGTCTCGACAAACTTCACTAAACAGAGGTGTTTCAATTATTACTGGTATATTATTAATATCAATAGTAGTAGTGCCTTCTGACTCATTACGGAAGTCATGCATCACAACTAAAAAGAAAAAAAAAATAACAATAGGTAAAAGCTTCTACCTAGTCTTAAGTCGTAAATTTATTCTTCTATGTCGTATGTTCTTACCTTGTTCCAAAACAATATTATGTTCATCACACATTGGGAGTTCAACCTGTTGAACAGTGTCGATAGCAACATCAATAGTAATGGCGTTATTAGTTGAATCATGGTTAGCAACTAAAAAATTTATAAAAATAAACAATGACGTTCCCTTTAAATACTTATATAGCAGCAATTTTTCAGCTTAAATACTGCATTCCTACCTTTTTGAGAAGAGTTTATCAAATTTTCTACCAAGCAATTGTCTCCAACCTCCTCATTACACGCTGACTTGCTAATTGTGTCTGAAAGACTATGTGTTGACTCCGAACGAATATCTACAATATAAATAAATACTAAAGTTAACACATTTTAGCTGCCGCATGCAATTAATAAGTAAAATTAATTAGAAAGACAACGGAGTACTAAATACTAACAACACTTAAAGTATTACTTACCTAAACCAGTATCTGTGTCTATTAAAGCAAGGTCAACTAACTTACGGCCCCGTGAACACATTTTTGTAAAACTATAATCAACAGTATATTTATATTTTTATATTAAAAACAAAACAACAAATCGTAATGATGCACCTATGCATGTACACTAAAAGATAATCACAATTTATAGGTTAACTAACTAACAGTTGAGCGAATGACTGTACGCTAATATCTCGTAAGCCACAGAACCGAAATACTAAATGTGAATTAGGTGTCATGTTTGGGTTACGAGATTTTTAAAAAGGTGGGTTACGGGGTATTGCTATTCATACTCTCAGCAATGGGAATACGAGCTATTAGAAAACACATTTAATAATATAAATAATAAAGTATGGCTTACAAGGTTTTTTGTACAGGCGAGTTTAGCTTTACATTATACTAATATGTAAAAAACGCATTTTCCAATTTTTGTGGGTTACGAGGTATTAGAACGACACAGACGATATCTAGAGCTACATAGTTTGTTGGCTTTTGTAACATTAAAAGTGTTATCTTCAGTATTTGATTGAAATGTTCTATATTTTTTGTCAAAAGTATCATGAATCTTTCACATTTTATTTTAAAATTTATCGCTTTTTACAATAGTATTGATCAATAATACTAGACAATTTTGCTTTGTTTGGTTTTCAACAGTTTCAAGAGATTTTCTTTATTTTAAAACTGTAGAACTGTAGAAAATGATCTTTTTTGTGAGGGGCGGTGTTAAATCAAGACCCTCGCACTTGTCAGAGAATTTTGATTGGTTTATGTTCTTTTTTGTACATTGAAAAATGTTCGTTTATCCTATATATAAATATGTATATTATTTGGAGAACACATTATTTATTTGCTTTTACAGTAATGTACAGTAGTAATAGATTTTTGTACAGTAACGAATATGTTTCCTTTAATTGCCTGTTAAAGAGGCCCAATATAGTTTTTTTGTACTATGTATATTATGTAAGATTATAGGTTTGAATAAGAAAATGTTTATTACAATCCTTTGTTTTTTTTATTTATAAACTAATTTCCTTTCCCTTGAGAGTCTACAGAATACAGCAATGGCAACGTGGTGAAGGTTTAGATTATTGGAATGCTAAAGAAGTGGCATACGAAATTTGGCGGGTGGTGACATTTTTACTTGCTGAAAAAACAGAATAATACGGTCATAATTTTTAATCAACGATAAGTAAGAGAAACAAGCATGAGTCATGAGTGGCAGAAGCTTGCAATGATATTGAGATACAAAAATTTTCCCGCCCCAAGCAATTACTTCTCTCTCTCTCTCTCTCTCTCTCTCTCTCTCCTCTCTCTCTTACTAGTCTATGATTGCCTGCTGATAGTTTATTGAATACAGTTTCGACTTGAATTATTTGTTTTGTCTGTTATTATATAATCATATTCACTTTTATCCACGGACTGAACTAAGCCACGTCCATTTTCTATTCTGTTTCGTCATAAAACAAGGGTTCATTGTATATACTTTGTGTTACAACACAAAGTTAGTCATCATTACGCTTCTCTCGTTTTCTATTCTGATTCAAAAATCTCTTAATCAGATTCTAATGAGGCGGTTCTTGCATTTTTTCTCTTTCGATTTCCTTGTAGAAGGCTTTAACAAGTTCATCTTCGTTATCGTTGGTAGGGGCGTATACCTGGGTTATATCACTTGTTCAGTCTTAAATTTATATACATAACTCATGCATTCAATATTGTGTATGTTTTTTTGCAAACGCATAGTTTGGAATCAATTAAACCAACTGGAAACATGATTAAAAAGTATAGGCGAAACTCTACAGAGTAATAATCTGTCAAACCTCTTTGAGATGGGTACACATTTGCGAGCTGAACAGTTCGTTGAAAATATGTTTACAGCGAACTCATTGAACCAAATTCAAACTGGAAACAAGTCACACAATCTCGATGCGACTACACGAACAGACAATATCACTGCGAATACCGTCCAAATTGAACGGCGAATATCCTTCGTGTTCGTCCCAAA